CGGCCCCAGCCCCGGGCCCGGCGGGGTGGGAGGAGGCCGCGTGCGCCTGCCCGGGGCTCCGGGCCGCGTCCCGCGCCGCCCCGAGGGCAGTTGACGTGGAGCGGCGCTCGGGAGCCCGCAGGGAAATGTTTTCAGGGTTAGGCCTTCTAGGTGGGCACCGTCGGTTCTGCTGCTGCTTGTACAACCCGCTGGAGGCCGACCAAAATGTCTCCTGAATGAGATCGCGAACCTGCTGGGTAAATGTGATATCCTTTATTAGAGCAACTAAATAGCTTGTTCTTTGCAAGCTTTTGGGCGCAAACACCCGTCTTGAGGCAGAGGCTGGCTGCTGTCTGCTCTTCTGGGCGGCCTCGGATTCTCGCTGCCACCATCTGCATTTTCACAGACCTGCATTTTGTGTGTTGGTTTCTGTTGTATCTGCGAGAGCGCGCGCAACACAGCCGACTCTCCCGGTGCCTGAAGAAGGGTCCCTTGTTTGTGGCCAAAAGCTTGTAGAGAACATTTTTTTCCAACTGTTTTGTTGGTTTAATAAAAGATAGCACATTTACTCAGAGACCCTTGCCTGCCTTTTTCATGCTGTGGTACTTACTGGCTATGTGGCCAGGTACTCTATCGCTTAAGCTTCTGTCCTTTTTTAGTACATCTTAAAGGCCAAATTCAGTTTCCGAAACTAGTGTATTTAGAAACTAAGCGTAACTTCGTTCATACTTAAATTGGGCCTTAAAGTGCAACACATTCTTGTGTTGAAGCTCTACCCTTATGATATCCTCTACCTTTTGGCAGCAGGTGACATGCAAGGAAAAACAGACAAAACAAGGCCCTCTCTGAGAACTCTGAAGAAAGACGCAGCCAAGCCAGAGCAATCCAAGTACAAGCCACTTTATGGGAAGGTGTTTTACCTCGATGTTCCGTCCAACGTGATTTCTGAAAAATTAGGGAAGGATCTTAAGGAACTAGGAGGGGTAAGTTTAAAAAGCACAGACTTGACAAAATGGGGGGAAATACGTTAAGTTCCAGATAATTTTCAAATTCATTACGTCCTGCACGTAAATGAAAAAGAAATAACTTTTTAAAAAAGCAATGTCAAGTGACTTTATTTTTCTTAATATTCCTCTGATTATTTATCATGAGGTTACCAAGCAGTTGTTTTCTATTCAATATTTCCTTTGTTATAGATAGAGCTCGTAGCGCTGCCAGTTGCCTGCACCTTTTCATTTGCATATACTGTGCCTAAGTTTAGCTGTTTGAGTTCACATTTCCCATATTGCACCTCTGCTTCTTGTCTGTGTGGGTTTTCTGAAAGTTTCAGCTAAAAATGTTCAGTTCTTTCTGAAATTGAGATCAAGAAAATGTTCTGCCCATGTTTTATTGGTGAAGCTATTATAAGAAAAAGAGTTAATGTTGCTGCCTCCATGGTCTGCAGGACGGACTTGAAGATTGGCAAGGAGGTTGCGCTGGTACTGGTACTTTTGCTGTCCTTGTGGAATCTTGTCAAATTTTTCCAACTTTATTAGCCACTGGAATATGTTAATTTTGCACTTTGTGTATGGCAGCTACATTTTCCAGTCTCTACTCCAGGGGCTGAGCAGGACTTTTTCTACAATTGCTTATTTTTGCTGCTTCAGGTCTTATGCACTTAGGGAACAAGGAGGCTGAAGCAGGTTGTTGTAAATGCATAGAAGTGAGAAAAGATAGAGAAAACTGCTACATGGTGGCTGTGGGAGTTTCAGGAGCCAGAAGGAGCTGGTACTGGCTGTAGTGGAAGGGCCTAGACATAAACATGGACAAAGGGCAGGAACTATGACATAGGACAGGGGTTGGCAAGTTTTTATAGTGGGGGCGTGGCTTTAATGGTATTTAAATTTGAGCATGGGCGTCTTCCAACATAGCTTGCATCACTGCCACTAGTCACCTATTCCACTGCAGTGATGCCACTGCTTCTCTGCAGTAGGAGCCCCATGACACTGAAACACTACAGAAGCCCCCAGCTCCATGGGCTGGATAAAATGGCTCCACAAGCTTCAGGGGTGTAAATGGAAAGAAAAGACACAAGCAGGAGGTAGATTGTTGGTAAGGAGCAGAGTAGGAATGGACTAAAGGAGGTTTGTGGGGCAGAGAGGAACAGCAGTGTCTCTGACGCACTACAGAACATGCATCTCCAGAATCAGAAATTGAATCTCATGAGTTCTGAGTCTTTATGTTCCTTTGTTGTTGGCAAATAGTTGTGATATCTAGTCCTTTTTTTCCCTTTAATGGCACTACTTTTTTAATTAAATACATTTGTTTCAAGTGCAACTATTAGAATTACTACCTAATATAATTTTAATCTTAAAGTCTAATTTTCCTTTAAAGTATTAAAATCACTTAAATGAAAGTGGTTAATTGGAGAGTCCCCTTAAAATTTTTTATGAGTTAAAGGGGATGCTTTTTAAAATTATACAGTATTATAGGAAAACTGATTGTGAGTTCTCCTCAGGCTTTATAAGTATGCCACAGTGTTACATACTATTTGTCCATCATTGCTAAAGGGTGAGCACTGTCATTTACTTTTTTTTTTTTTCTCAAACAAAAGTACTTTTTGTTCCTCTTGCACAGAAAAACTTTGGCCTTAATTTTAGTTTTAGTTTAACTCAAAGGTTCTCAACCTCTGGCCTGTGGGCCAAATGCGGCCTGGAGAGCCTTGGCATCCGGCCTGGAGGGCTTCTCTCAAGTCAAGAAATTTGGTGGGTGGCAGGGGAGCAATAGCCATTAATATGACCACCTTCCCTGCCCTGCCAAATTCCCACACCTCAAGCCCCACATGCCTATGAGAGCCCCTGTGGGGCTGGGCCACTCCCCCACTTCTTCCATATATGGATCAGGGCTGGGCCACACCCTTTCTTCCCTCCTAACCCTTCTTTCTCCCCATCCTCCCCTCAGGGCCAGGTTGGGGCCGAGCCCTGCCCCCTTTCTCCACAGGACCAAGCCATGCCCCCTTCCCCTGCAGGGCTGGCTTGGGGCTGGGCTGCTCCCCTCCACATGGCCGAACGGCACTTGATGGGAACTGCCAGCCAGATCTGGCCTGCGAGCAGCTGGGGCACTGTCTATCTGGCCTGAGAGGGGAAAAGGTAGTACATCACTGATTTAGCTAATAGGTGCAGAGGATGTTATCCATCTGTATTAGTTTGTTCGCAATTTAGAATTTGATTGGAAATTGAAGCAGCAGGAAAGCAAATTTATTTTTCTTTAAATAAAAAAAATAGTAGAAGATTAGATCTACTAGATTTAAAGATTTGAAGAACAGGATGAGAGGTTAGATTTTCAAAAGTATTTAAGGCACCTAAAAAACAAGATTTCAAAAATGTCTAAATTTTGGCGGTGAGTAAAATTTTCAAAAGAAGCCTAAGCTTTGATGCCCTAGCTGTCTGATTGGCAGTTGAGCACTTTAGACTGCTACCCTACTGGAATTTTTAGTATCTTCAGGTATATGAATACTTTTGAAAATCTGGCCTTTGTAGATCAAAAAAATGTGTGTTTGCTAACAGTAGTTAATATATTATTTTAACAAATCATTTATTTTTAAATGGAAAACATGTTTTGATAAATGCCTTTTATAAGCATCATAGTTCAGTAGTTTTTACATAATATAAATAGTTTTAAAATCCATTTTATGAATTTTTAATGCTACTCTATTTTCTATCAAAATGCAGTTGGAGACAGAAAAAAGGAATTATTTTGTAAAATAATAAATGTATCATTTGCCATTTCTAACTTTAAAATCTGATTAAATACAGGTAAAGCTATATCATTATTTAAATAAGCATGTATAGATACAAATTTAGTGAAATCAACATGATTGAATGAAACTGAAACTTTGTTTAGGAAAATAACTAAAATAGAGAGAGAAAGCAAGATTTAAATTTATTTAAATCATGGTTAAACTGGAATCAGAACTGGAACTCTGGCTTTTTGTCAGTGTAGTCCTATAGGTGCTTGGAAAAGTCACTCCATAGGTTTCAGATTTACCATTAATAAAGCACTCACAAATGGAGAATACACAGTCTGAGACACTTGAAGCCTTGTTTGCTGAAGAGCTGAGAAGTTGCATCTGAAGTTGATCAGAACTTTTATTAGAGAAAATGTTATAGATGTGTTCCACGGGCCCAAAAATCAGATCTATATTAAATTGGCCAGACTATATCTATGCCCAGACTTAGTTTGTTAATAACATTTAGCATTTTATATTTTTTTAGGAAAAGGTTTCTACAAAGTTTTACACTCAAAATGATTTTTTTTTCTTGTGGTGAAAAGGACAAATGAAAAGCCTCATTAATGTCTATGATGTAAGAGCAACAAAAACACAAATGGAAAAGATTTAAACAAATGGCCTCCATATATTGGAAGCTGCTGTTGTTTACAAATATAGTTGGCATCCTCAAGTCAAAAAACAGAAATGCTTTAGTTAGGTAATACTCCTCATCAGTTTCAGCTTGACCCTAAATCATTTAGATGGTTTTGAAAATTGCACCCTCAGGTGCCTAAATATAGCGGGGGAAGTGATATTGGGTTCCTGCTTTTAAACATTTTGATCACAGTATGTTAAAACAAAAATTTGTAATACTTTGCTAACATATTGAAAAATTAGTTTTGTCACTGTTGACCTTGAAGTAATTTTGTTTTGAAGCAGCACCACATGCTGCTAAAAGAAAAATATTTAATAAAAAGTTTTAGTTTCTGATGGTACAAACACTTATGCACGTGCTTAAAGATTACGGCCACTAACAGTCTTCCTGACTTCAGTGGAACTATTCAAGTCCTTCATTATGTGTACCTCTTTGTGATTACAGTTCAGCATCTTAATTCTCAATAATTTGGTGTTTTGCAGTTTGCATTTTGGTTATAGCATTTTTATAAATTCAAACAGAATAAGCTTTAGTGACATTTTTCAAAATTACAGTGAGTTTATCATCAAATGTTGCATCCAGAGTAATGGCAGTTAATGCTGCCACTGCTCACCTGCCGCTGAATTTCTAGATTGGTGGGGATGACGCATCCCTGCACACCAGCGCATGGGGTTACTCTGCAGCCAGATCTGGCACACATGGCTAGATTTGGTGCACAGGGCTGGGTCAGCATGTTGGATTGTACCTGCTGACTAACCCCTTGTGCTTACTCTGTGCTATGTTGCTGGAAGGTTGAGAATGCTCTCTTTATTCAGTAACCAGTTCCACTCTTACACAACCTCCCTGGCTGTGTCCTTGCTGTCTTCCTGCTTAGCCTGGAACTGATTACTGAGAAACAAGCTCTGATTCATATATGCCAAAACCTGGCAATTAAGCAAGACCCATGATTAGAGCAGCCCTGAACAAATATTCCAGTGCTGGTCTCGGGTTCTGTGTTTTAGGAGACCCTGAGAGCCAGGGACTGCCCACAATTTTTGGGGACGCTCTGGAAGAAATAGTTTTGGAGCCCCCTGCCCTGAAGAAGCCAATGTGGGTGGGGGGTTTAGGGTTAGGGTGGTGAGTAACCAGACATGAAGCTGGTGGTGGGGGAGGGGGTGACGAGCAGTTGGGCACAGGGGGCCCCTTAGCTGCAGGGCCTGCTGTGGCTACAGGTTTCACAGTATAGAATGGGCCGGCCCTGTTAGAGCAACTCTTGGCATGTGGGCCAGTCTAAGCTATCTACAGTGCCTGAATGCTAGGCCTTGATACTTGCAGCGAAGGACCATGTATGTGGGCAGGGCTTGTTTCTTAGCAGCAGTCCCACTTTCAGCAGCGAGGCAGTAGAAGCATTAGCTTTGTTTCCAAAGCTAAGGCTTTCATAGTTCCCAATATATCTAGATCTGTGCTTAACTTTCTTTGTGTAGGTAATAGTCTTACTGGCTTTACTAGTAACTATTCTCATGTGAAGATTTGGACCTCATTTTAGGCCTCAAAAATACTTCATTCCTAAAATATCTTAATAGTTTCATGTTAGTTTTTTAAATGTATATTTCAAACAACCCAATTAACTTTATTCCATCATTTCGCTTCTTTTCCCCCAACTTTCTCTTCACTGTTTTTGTGCTAGTAGCTAGTAACCTGCTGGGGCTGAATTCCACTTTCAGTTATCACACTACTATGTAGTAACTCCATTGTAATAACTTCAATCGTATCAGTAAAATTGTTTCAGCTTTACAATAGGGCATATAGGAGCAGAATTTGACACCTCTACTCAAAACTTCTTTGAGGGCTGGTTTTTTTTTATTTGGAGGACTAGACAGTTATTGCATTGTATAAATTATAATACATTATTATGTTTACTGTTATTAAAACGAGCATAATTCAGATAAAAATTCTGTTTACCTCTCAGTAGTTAAGTTTGGTTGACATGTCTTCAAATTAATATTGCAGCTTACTGTTTACATTGTTGTGGGTTAACTATTTGGAGTTTGAGCTGAGTATCAATTCTAATAGATGTTTGGCAGAGAATTCAAAGCTTTTGCATTTTTGGTGTGACAAAACACTTGCACTTTATTCTGAGCCCAATATAAGATGGAGCTTCTGTTTCACAGCTTTGATGCAGAAGGCTTTGAAAATGTTTAGTCCACTTTAAACTTGGCTTAATGTGAATTTGCACAAAAATGTTAGTAAAAACATGGCAGTAAAAATGTTAAGTTTTTCTATAATTACGGCAGTTAGTAGGAGCGGCTTAATCTCTTTGCTCTCCTGAAAGCTATATTGACTACCGTGGGTAGATATAAAGGGATACTATCAACTGGAATTCCATTTGACTGACTTGTATATATTTAGGTAGTATATGGAATTGTGGTACGGTCTTCATTTCCTGTAGTTCTGAGTATGAACTGCCCTAGGAATGTGTCAGTATTGTGAAGGAGAATGTGATTGTAGGACTGCTGCTTTATTTGTTACAGAAGTTGGAAGGTCTAGAGTGGAAGAAACTGGGGGTTGTGTTGTGAATAGTTGGACTGTCCAGGTCCCAGCCCCTCTGGATTCAGCTTTTTCCCCCAACTTGCTGCACGTGGTACTTATAGTATTGGAAGGGACCTGAGCAGATCATCAAGTCCAACCCCCTGCCATGGGCAGGAAGAATGCTGGGGTCAAATGACGCCGGTTAGGTGATTATCTAGCCTCCTTCTGAAGACCCCCCAGGGTAGGAGTGAGCGCCACTTCCCTTAGAAGTTGGTTCCAGATCAAATTTAATATGAGTATAACTAGTGAGTCTTAAAATTGTCAGCTAGCTGATTAAACATTCTGGCAGAGGTTTTGTACTTTTATTATATGTTGCTGAGTAACTATAAAAACAATTAGATTCTAATGGTTTTATAAGAAAACTAGCTGACAAAAACATGCTTGGTATACTCTGTTTCAGTACTTTGTATATTAATTAGTGCTCACTCATTGTTAAACCTCTGTCATTTGACTTACCATTTTCCAGCTGTGATCTGCAAGGGCCTTGAAACTTCTTACTTATTATATGTTTGGCAGCTTAACCAAGCCTGATACTGTCTTTGCCTAGTATTTATTACCTTCTAGGAATGGAGAGAGACTGTTAGAAGTTGAGACCTTGTTCAACTAGAAGAAGGTGACTGCAAGGGGAGGGAGGCCTGCTAGAAGCTGAGTCCTGGTTGAGGCAAGGTTTTGCTGAAGCCTTAGCAAGATGGTGTTGGGGCACACGGCCTCTAGTCTATCCAACAGGTTGAAGGAAAGAAAAGGACATACCAGAAATCTTTAAAAATTACTTTTAGATGTCTCAAATTGGACACCCAAAATAAACAGACATTTGCCTTGGTTCTCCTTTTCTAAAATGGAGCAGATAATACCCCTTATTTTACTGGGTGTTGTAAGGATTGGTTAATGTGTTTGAATCATGTTGATACTATAGTGATGAGCAGCACACTACAGAAAAACCTATGAGGAAATTAATACGCCCAGCCTTCAGAAGAAAACTTGAGTAGTGTGAAGTAGCAGAGGAGCAGTTTTTATCCTGAACAAAGAATGTAAAACAATCACCATTCAAATTATATTGATGCAGCAGGATCCTTCGGGGAAAATAGTACCGTACATACTTGAATACAAAACTAGCCCTCCCCCTCCTCCCCCCCCAGCAAAGCCCCTCATCTTATAATTGCATACAAAAAAGCCCTCATTAAATATATCATCTATCATTAAACTGCTGCCAGAAGCAGCATGTGCTTAGTAATTTTCAACAGATTTGGCAAATTTGGCCAGAATTTCATGGTAAAAGGCCTTGCCAGAAAGGCCACTCAGTTCACCCCTTTTGTCTTTCAAGTCTCTCTGAGGAAACAGAGCATTGTAACTTTTCAAATAAAAGTGATCTAAAGTTTTACTCCAAGTAAAACAAAGTATTGTTCTCCAACTTCATTCTCTCAAATGATTGAATTATTTAAATGAAATATGGTTGTGTGTGTATGCTCGCTCTCTCACACATGCGCGCACACACACCAGCCCGCATAAGACAAATATCTTGCATGTAAATTTTCAATCTTGATAATGAAAATTTCACAAATGAAAATAAAGTGTTATCATAGGAGGTAAGGCTGGTACCAAAACTTATTATCATATTTAATCTTTAGGAACATTTTTCTCTTAATATAACATTTCCTAAACTGCAGTTCAGAATTCCTGATGCGTCTATTGTAGAACTTTTTGCTTGGTGTAACTAAAATTAGAAAGTATAATAGTGATAATATATCCTGATTTTTTTTTTTTTTTTTTTTTAAGAGAGTGGAGGGATTTCTCAGCAAGGATATCAGCTATCTCATTTCTAATAAAAAGGAAGCCAAATTTGCTCAGAGCCTTGGACAGATTTCCCCAGTTCCTAGCCCAGAATCTGCCCACTATGGAGGAAATAGTTCACTTCATCCTAGCACCAGAAGAGATCGAGATGATAGAAGTTCATTTAAAATGGTGGATACAGTAAGTTTCTTAATAAAAAAAAACAAAAATGCAATTCAACTACAATTGATTACATCTGCTTAATCTTCCCTGAGACCATGTGAATTGATTCGCCAAAACCAGAGGCTTTAATTTGTTCACACTGTTTAAACTTGACTTAATCAGCCAAGACTTAACAATGGTTCTGAAAAATATGTTTTAAACATGGGCTCTTCCACATTGATTACAGCATGGCAGTCTCCAGTCTTTGAAAATGTTGTTCTATCTTAATTTGTACAAGTATGATTAAACATCAGTATTGTTAAGAACTTCAAAAATATTTTCTTAAATGAAGTATTTTGTATTAAATTTATTTTTAACTAATTATATTAAATTAGTTCAGTGAACAGTTTTTTGATCCCAATGTGAATGATAGAAGGGATGGTATCAGCTGTTTCCAGCACAGTTTATTAACCTAGTGGCTGTAGTTACATATCTAGAGCTTTCATAACATCACTCCAATGTGAGTTTCCTACTGGGAAGACAGTACGTCAAGTTTATTTAGTATTCATCAAAACTAGTAGAAGATTTTGGGGGGCTTTATTGGCTCATAGTAAAAAATCAAATATTGACAATCTTTCAGTCAATATTAACTTGGTCCGGTAATAGCAACAGCTATAGTGGTGCTCCTTAACATTTTTGGACTCAAGGTACCCCTCTATAACTTCTGTGGACCCCAATTTCAGAAACTAGATATTACAGTTTTTCTTGTAGGGGTGGAGGATTGACTAGGCTGTACCCACCTAAAAGAGCATTTTCCCTTTTGTGTTTAATTTCTATTAGGTACTGTTTAATTTCTATTAGATACTAATTTCTATTAGGAAATGTTAAATAACAAAAGATTAATATTGGGATTTCAAAGCACAATTTCAGCACATTCCTCAAAGGGAACAGCACATTGATATGCATTGTAATGTTCTGGAAAGTCAGCAAAACTTGTATTCTTAACATTTGCGCGTGGTAATAGCAGACATGAAAACTAATCGTACTAAGTCCTTGTATTTTTAGTATTTTATATTTTTTTTAACAAAAGTGTAAGATAAAAAATGGAAACATTCTAGGAAGTAGGCCTTTGCAATCCAAACGATAAGCTTTTGTGGCAACGAAAATATTTATAAATTAATTATGTTCTAAATAGTATTTGATTTAGGCTGAGAGTGATCCTGTGATATGTATGTCTGCTTAAAGAAAGCTGAATACACTTTAAAGTGGAATACGCTGATATAGCAGTACAGTTGCTGTAGCAACACTGTTTTTAGATTTTTAGGCTGTTTATGATATAGTATTGTGTCAAAATTCTTTTTCCAAAATAATCACTGATGGAAATGACCCTTTAATATTTCAGACTACTTAACAGTGAAAATGTCAACTGTAGTGATATGTCTGAACAGCACTGCAGAAAGGGTGTGAATTGCTAGATAGTGGCCAAAAATTAATGTATCATCATATATATAATAGTTTGTTGGTGTAACAGAGGCATTTAAGATGCACTATCTTAAGTATTTTTGGTTTGTACAAAAACATTTTTAATTAAAACTTGCATCTAAATGAGCTCTTATGTCCTCCAAGTAATATGCACTGTTTCTCTAATATAGGTACGTGTGAGTAGAGGAAAATCCTTAGTTGAAAAAGCAATCAAAGAGCAGGTAAGATGAGTAATTCACAGAACTGGATTTAGTAAAAATTACAGAACAGATTTTCATTGTACTAGAAAGTAGTGACCAGTAGTAGAAGTAAGTAACGATCTAAGGGAAAATGCCAGAATGGGATATACTCAGCCAGGTGTTAAGCTTCCATTCACCTTCACACTGTACCTTCAGGACCGGTTTCAAGATTCATATGGTTATTTTCCCATATTTCCTGGAGAACTGAAAAAGGCTACTGTCATTTTCTTTTTTTAGAAGATTTGTCACTAAGTGTTTGGCTACACAAAGCACACACAATAGAACTTTAAAAATATATAGTAGTGCACAGATGGCATAACCCCAAAAACTGGGCTGACTTCATGGATCTGGTGGAAAAATATCCTTAAAGGAATCAGCAGTAACATGCATGAAGTTCTAAAATTTATTTCATTTTCTGCATTTATCTTGAGATAATCATTTGTTAAAGACATACAGGCTACCTGTCTGCTCCCCTTCCACCTATTTGTCAAGAAGCAATACCAGCTGCCTGCTGTGCAGGGTGTCCTGGGTAGCTGCATAAACTGCATGCCTGTCCATTCTTGATCCAGCAGTAATGGGTACATCTGTTAACACTCTGTGTGAAGTCAGCTAAAGCAAGTGAAGAACAGTCTTCCTTGTCTTTTGTGCTAGGGACAGAAGTTACACATAATGTATAAGTAATCAGAAACTGGTTCAGATCTGTAACACAACAGAAGTTTAGTGCAAGAGGTGCACCCATGTATGGGTCCGTATCAGATTGGCACCAATAAAAGGAAAATTGACATTATCGGCAATTGGCTTTTTTTGGCCAGTGTAGCCAATAATGTCACCAGTAAATGATGCATGCAGCCGCAGCATGCACATGGCCAGGAACATAGCCTGGAAGCTTGGAGAGCACTGTCCAGCCAGTAAGTCTTTGGGGGGGAAGGGGTGTGGGTGTGGGCAGATCAAAGCCCCCACGGTGAGGGAAGGAGTGGGGCTGGGGCTGGGACAGTCGCTGCCTGGGTAGGGAAGGGCGCACAACGAAGCCATAGGCGGCTCATTGGGAGGTGGGGGGTGGTCCCTGCCACTGCACGCATGCCCATGGGAGGCATGGGGACATGTGCCCCCCCGACTTGTGCAAAGTGTGAGGGCAGGCTGCCCTTTGGGGGCTGGAGGCTGCGTCATCCTCTTCTTGGTAGGGGGGGCTAGGTGGGTGGTGGCAGTGTCAGAAGAGGGGGTTACAGGAGGGGGGCTACAGCCATCCCAAAATTTGCCATAGCCCCTGCTCTCAGAGCTACTGTTGCCTGCCTGCCCCAACCCAGCTCCTGCACTAGAAAGAGGCTGGTGCAGCCCCTGGCCCTGAGCCCACAATGGACAGCCTGCCCTTGCCTCATGCACAAATGCAGGGGGCACATGCCCCCCATGCCTCCCTGAGAGGTGTGCACAGTGGCAGGGGCTGCCCCCGGCACCCTACAGATGAGCTGCCTGCAACTCCATCCCCCAACCTGGCTGGGTAGCACTGCCTCCCCCACATCCTTTGCCCCCTCCCCCAGACTTACTGGCCAGACGCTGCTCTCCATGCTACTGGGCTGCATATCGGATCTGTATCAGCCAATATGGCGGGTTAATAATCGACCTTCAGTATCAGCCAAAAATTCTTTATCGGTGCATCCCTATTCAGTGCATATAGACCACTTTCAAAATGGCCAAAACTGGCTTAAGATAAGCCTGGATGGATGTAATATCAGACTTAACTGATTTAGGTTAAATTGGTTTATTGAACTACTATCGGGTTCCCTTCCAAATTCAGGTTAAGTCAGTTTCCCAGGATGCTTTGCTCCTCCCCTGCTAATCCTCCCTCACAGGGTGGGTGGGCTAGCTTTGGCCCAAGCTATCTGCTCCAGCCAAGCACAGAGGTATACTCTAGTGCCCCCCAGCTTCTGGCCTGAGCCACTGCAGGCAAGTGGCTGCATTTCTGGAATCAAAATTGGTGTCTGTTCACTTGCTTATTGGTTCAATCTACACAGTTTAGACTAAGATTGAATTGATTCAATCTCAGGCTTTTTGACCATCTGTACTTAACCCTGGTGGGAAATAGAAAGGGAAGACCTCAGCCTGACTCACGTACTGGTTTGCATCAAATATCTGAATGTATTGCATTTATTAAAAATATTAATTAAGTTTATTGTTTTATAGGAATTAATCCCCTCAGGTAGCATACTGTCCAATGCATTGAGTTGGGGAGTGAAGATACTTCATGTTGATGGTAAATACTTTTGTTCTGTGTGTTCTAAACTGGTAAAATTCATTGTATTTGTTTTATTTGCAAGATTTATTCTTATTTTCAAAATTATTGTTAAAAACAACAACTACGTTCAAATAGGAGAAAAAGAAGTTGACAAAATGTAACTTTTTTTAAAGATATTAAAAATTATATTGAACAAAAGAAAAAGGAGTTCTGTCTGATCAAGAAAGAAGGCACTTCAGGCAAAGATGTGGTAAGTTGATCTTTAGGTAATTGAAATCTTTATTAACAAATAAGTATGTAGGCAAGTTAAATATTTCCTATAAAGATGCTGGTTGATTTTTATTTTAATATGCTTTTATTTGAAGATTAATTTTCTGATCAGTGTTATGTTTAATGGATTCTGAAGTTTTACTTTAAAATCCTTTAAATAATAAAAGGTTTGCAGTATTTTTGAGCCTGATTGTAAAAATAAATTTGCAATATCATTAATTAAAATAGTGTTTTGGGAGCTGCACTCAGATTGTGTGTTCAGGAGACAGGAGCAGTAGGGCTTTCTGAACAGGACATTCTTTCTATCCCAGAAGCTAAAAACTGCATTGGTATAGTGGCTTGGTTTAGGCCATCCTAACTATGGCCCTGATTCCCTGCCATGCAAATATAAAAGCCTTAAATTTGATGATGAAGCAACCCAGCTATACTGGAATGATCTTTCCAGGGTAAGAGAGATTGGTTTTAGGGTCAGTATGTCAGCAACATAGCCCAGAGTAACAATAAAACATGGAAAACTGACCTGTAACGGCATGTGACATAATCCTAATCTCTCAGCAGGTTTCCTAATTCCTAGCCTAACAACTGAGTAAAGTGTACTCAAAGTATTCATTCCATGTGTGGTAGGGAACTACCATACTTTCCATTACTAGTCAGCTGCTGCTGTTTCTTAGATGCAAGTTAAGGGTGCAAATTTGTATGAACTGTAGTAAAAGTACAGAAACTTATTACAAATTCATTTAAAATAATTTTTAACTCATTAGTGTATCAGTGTTCTTTTAAGTCTTATAGTGGTTTTATTTACTCCAATAATATGCTGTCCGTATCTTGCCAAATTCTATGCAGCTGTCATAGAAGCTATCATGCTTGATATTTGGAGTTAGAATCTGAATTACCTTTTTTTCCCCAGTAGATATAAGGATCTAATATCTTGCAATGTAGACTATTTTCTGTAGTGCAGATAACTGAGTCACTAATATAATATGGAACAATTGCAAGTTTGTTTTAATTCCATAAGTTATTAATAATTTGGTACATAGAACCATACTAGTTATATAACTAGTAATGTTCTTTACTACTTTTCTAACGGCAATTTCCTGTTGTAACAATCTCAATTTATAGTAAAAATAACGTGAATATGTAGCAGCAGACACCACTCATTACTAGGGTGACCATACTACTTTTAAGGAAATCCAGGGTGGGTGCTGGGGCAGGGGAACACACACGTACATGCACACAGACAGATACACCCACACCCACTTCCTCCTCCAGCCCAGTACGTAGCATATGCAGGGGAAGTTGCTGTGCTGCCAGGCTGTCAGGCCACTCTTTGCCCTGTAACATTTGCTGCCTCCCCAATTTAATTTGTTAAATGAAAAAAACATTCTTAATTAATTTTTTGCATAGCTAAAATAAAATATTTCTTCATGAAACAGTGGCTCAATGTTTATAATAATTGGTCTAATTTGTCTATTAGTTAATATATGGTTAATCGTGATTTCACACAAAGATGCATGTTTTAAAATTTGCAGCTGAATTTTGGAGTTAAATGGAGAGCACTGCACAGTAATTTTTTTCCTCTTAACTAGGGAAAACGATGCGCTAATCAGAAATCAAAAAGTAAGTATTTTGATGTCTGAAGAGATGTTGTCTTGTTTTCTGTATGCTTAAAAATTCAGTGTTTGTCTGGGGGAGTACCCTTATCAATTAGCATACTGAGAAAATTACATAAAAATTCTATGGAAACGAAGAGTTCATGTGCATATTTGACTGATTTGATTTTGAAAATTAGCTGAATAAGCGTGTGCGCGCTAGTATAATTTATTTTTGGATGGAGAAAAATATTGAATTTCTTCTCCCCCACCCCTAAGCAGGGAGACTGAAAAATCCATTTGTGAAGGTAGAAGACAGAAGCTGGTAAGTACTATTTGTTATGTCTATGTGTGATCTATTAGTGTACTCTGTAATGTGCTCAACAAATTTGATTTTTGAAAACATAGTAAATCTGCATGTGGCTAGGCATGCATTTAAAGCGCTCCAAATATCCCAACTTTCCCAGCACTTTAAAGTACCTGCAGAAGCATGCACTACTCTCCAAAATGGGAAAAAGAAAGTTTATTGTCAGTTTAATATTTGACTATCTGCATGTTCACTCGTCCATCTTCTCCTTTAGAGTTGATTCATTTTCCCTTGTTAAAATTGAGAAATGCACAAAGATATAAAATTGCAGAGAAACCGATGGTTTGGTATTTAGAAGTGCTGCTGTGTCCTGTTTAAGATTATGGATATGCTTCTTATCGGAGTAGTTTTTAGATTTACAGCTTATTTCAGCCAACTTCCAAGGCTACGTGCAGGGGAGGGACAGAATCAGTGCATGTGATTTTTGTGCACAGTATAGCTATAGACACAGGCTGCATCCAGACGAGTCCAGCTGTGAGGCATGTGGCACTGCAGACGTTTGCGGTGCCACATACCACTCATTCTATTGTTCTCCGCGCTGCAAAGGAGCAGTGCAGAAGGATTTTTTGACCTGTGGATATCCAGGGGTCAAAAAAACCCACAGAAAAAAAGTGGAGCTATACACACAGTGGCAGCAATATGCTGCCTGAAGCTGGAGCCTGGATAGCCAGAGCCGCACTCCCACACAACAGGATCACCACTACTGCAGTCCCAGGAGGCCCCCAGCCTCCCCTACCCTTCCTGGGATAACTTGCTGCACACTAGCGCACATGGCATGGGTGTTACCTGGAGACAACTAGTGACAATGCAAGGTGCACCACTGCTAGTTGTCCTCAGGGGACCAAACATCCACATACATCTGGACATGGCCACTGGAGAGAAATCCTACATAAGGAAACAAATTCAGAGGCAAGGAAAAAGTAAAATCTCACATACTCCCATGATAGCTAACTGTTTGATATTCACTTTGAAGTCAAGGTTATAGGTAATTTACTCTAAATGACTTTTAATTTCTTTATTTCATATGTGGTAGTTATAGTGCTTATATTGTCTTGTCTAATACAGCCACTACAGACCATTTTATCTGCAGTTATCCAGCTTTCCAGTTCTCAACTATTCTGCTCCAAAGCCTTATAGTCCATTTGAGGCAGATAAGAAGACTAATGCCAGCCAAAAGCAAATTCAGTCTAAACAAAGGTTTGTCAAGAACTTAGTTTAAGGTTAAACATTTTAAATTGTTTTTCAGTTTTTAAAGAAATTGACCCTCTTTTATATTGAATTACACAATATTTGATACTAATAACTAACTGTCTTGTTTGGTAGATGAACTGGACTAGTAACTGTCAGTGTGTCCATCTCTCTCTACCTTTTTATCCTTTCTTTATGTCCTTTCTTGGATGTACAGATGCAAGCATCCATAAATACATCCCTCTACTATAGCTGTGGGTCAGTACAGGATGTGACAGACTTTTTCCTCTGTCTGCTACTGACTGCTTCATTCTATCCTCTTCCTGGATGCTGTCCAGTAAGTACATCAAGATAAATGAATGAGCTTGCCTCCAGAACTGTTCATTTAAACTTTTGATTGGCATGTAACAAAGAGGTTACATTTGTTTATTAAAATTATCATCCTAATTCATAATGGTCATTGTGATGCTGTTTTACATATAAACTTAAATGTGGTCAAACAGAAAAACATATCCAGGCACCACCTTAATAAAGCTTGAAGTCATTTCTCCTTGAGAGACGCTCTAAATACTTCTTGTATGAGCTCATAAGCAATAACAGTATCTTTGCCTGTACTTATGTGGAGGGTGTACTTCTGTACCATATTTTGGGTTCAGGCTTCATTTTGAGCACTCTTCTTCAGAGTTATGCAATTTGCCAAAAGGCATGTGATTTCTGCCTTAAATACCTACATGGCACTTTAGGGTCAGGAGCAAAGGTTGATTCTTTATATTTACTAATTACAGCATTAGCTTTCTAACACAGGTGTTTATAACATAAACAGTATTAAACCTAGAGACGGTTGGTAGAAAAAGTAACTTCACAATAGTACCCTTTTCCTATGTTTGGAAACTCTCATAATGTTCTTTGGGCTGAAATGTAGTGTGTGGTACTTACTCTTTTAATATAATAGTTTCTGTACTTCCCCTTTCCATAACTGATTACACAGTTGGTGACTATCTATTGATATCGTCATGGCACCTTATCAGTCTTGATTTGTAGTACGTGTGGTTATAGGGGAAAATGAAAAAATATAATGCACCAGGACATTGTAGAAGCACTACACGAATCCCATCTTGTAGATCAGTACTAAAGATGTAGAATTCATTAGAATATGCCTTGGATTTACAAATTCCCGTTATATGGCCCACTCCCCTTGTGAGCTCTCCCAACTACTTAAATTAGAAATAATTACCTTCTTAACCTGTAAACCAGGGGTGTCAAAGATATGGCCTGCAGGCCTGATCCAGTCTGCAGAGCCCTATCATCTGGCCTGCAGTGCTGCATGTGGGACTCTAGCATGCAGTGTGCAAGGTCAGTCTGGTGCCAATGCCAGACTGGCCCTGTATGCTGGGTTCATGGCTGGTTGGATCAGTTCCACAGGCCAGCTGCATGTGTTGGATCCAGCCTACAAGACCAGTCCAGAGTGGGTGCCACATGTAATTGCATGCTACAAGCAACATGCAGGGCCAGTCCAGGGTACGCACCGAATGGAGCCAGACTGTAGCTGGCATGTGGGGCTAGTCTTAAGGTCCAGTGCAGCCCACAGACCAGCAAGGCATCCCTCATCCAGCCACTGAACTTGACACCCCTTCTGTAAATGAAATAGTTTCAGGGTTTGTTTGGTTGGGGAGGGGGGGTTACGTCTGCATTTTGAACTATTTGGAGTGCTTTCAGAACAATCTTGCATGTAATGGGTTGTAATCAAGATTTATAGTTACAAATATGAGTTTCTGTAGTGTAGTATGAATTAGTAAGAAGGTGGTTATTCTGTCTACAAATGGACGTGATGCCACTTCTTTGATATAAAGATGTCGAGCTTGATGCTGTTATCTTATTGCTAAGATAACATCTTTGTGTCACCCGCATCCCAACATGTTCCTGTAGCAGATGTTAAAGAAAGCACTGTAGAGCACCAGTCAGGGGTTCTTGAAATGGGGGAAATAAAGTTGCTGAAAACCACCTACATGTAAGAGAAAGATCAAGGATATATTAGGGCATTTCCTTTCATACAGGCAGCTTCTTGAAAGCAGAATTGGAATATTCAGTCAGTAGAATAGAGGCCACAGGGAAATTCACCTGGGTGAAGATGGATGTGCTTTGCTTGCTTTCAGCCAAACGGAGCTTGCTTTAACAAACAAGTGATCTCTACCTTTTGCTGGCCTGACTGAAATGATCAGAAATACTAGTAGCAAATAGGCAGACTATTATTAAGATTAGGATTTTTTTCCAAGTTATGGGCTTGCTTAGTAGAATTCTTTGTTGACTTTCATGTACAGACGTCTACCTTTACACATTCATGAATTACAGTGAATACTTTGACATCACTATTTGAGCCACATAATGATTATAGTAGCATGGAAAATGATTTGTTTTATCCTTTTGCATTATTCCTTTGATTCTGTCAGTTGCTCAGTAGTAAATTCTCATCTCTGAAGCTTTTTAAAATAACACCTTTACTAACTTCACTATGTTTCATTTGCTTATAAAATATATTAAGTCTATATTTTTGAGCAAGTTGGGTAACATTTTTTTGTTTGTTCTGGTTGGAGTGATTTCTTAAGGTCTTTGATTCTCTTAACATTTTTGATCATTTTGTAACAAGCAGAATTAGGGCTTCACTCCCTGTAGACCAGGGGTCGGCAACCCCCACCACGTGTGCTCAGCATGGCATGTGAGGCCATTTTCCTTGGCACGTGTTGGAGCCAGGGCTGGGGTGGGGAGGCAGCAGATGTTTGCAGCCTCCCAGCTGAATCGGGTCCCAGCTCTGAGTAGCTGCTGCCAGCCAGGAGCCTGGGCTGCTCCCAGCAGGCAGCTGGGAGGCTGCAAGCCCTGCTGCAAGCAGCCTGGGCACCATGGCTTGCAGCAGCTACCCCAGAGCCTGGGCTAGCTGCAGCCAGGAGACTGCAAACAGCTGCTGCCTCCTGGCCCTGGCCCCAACAGGCACAGTGCTGGCATCTGCTGCCTGCCCAGAACCTGGAGCCAGGAGACAGCAACTGTTTGCAGCCTTCTGGCTGCAGCCGGCCCAGGTTCTGGGTAGCTGCTGATAGCTACAGAGCCTAGGCTGCCCAAAGCCTGGGCCAGCTGCACCCGGGAGGCTGCAAACCGCTGCTGCCTCCCCGCCTGGGCCCCAGCCTTTGCCCCAGCTGCCTCCCAGCCCCAGGCAGGCAGCAGATGCCAGCGATACTCCCCACTGCGCTGCACTCCCCGCCACTTATACAGAGCAGTGTGTGGAACCCAGCAAGGCAGGGCACAGCAGGGGGCACAGAAAACTGCCTGCCACTCCAAGCTCCCCGCTGCCCTGGCCACACTTTACCTGTGGGCAAGGGCAGCAGCGAGAGGCACAGCCCTGCATGCTGCCCACGGTGGTCCCGTGCACACAGGGGAAGTGTGACCTGGGCAGTGTGGAGCTTGCAGCAGCAGGCAGGGGCATGAGCAGGGCTGGGGGGCAGGGGCTTTGGGTGTAGGGCAAGGGGCACAAGCAGGGCTGGGGGGTAGGGGATTTGGGTGTGGGGCAAGGGGCACAAGCAGGGCTGGGGGGCTGTTGTGGGAGGACCCACACAAAACGAATATACAAGATCAAAGGGAGTATCAGAAGTTTTATTTATTGTCACTAGGTTTACAATTTTTAGAAAATCTGGTATTTACTGTTAAAAAAAAAAAAAGGGGGCAACATTTATGATTATTAACTATACTAATATGCGGTGCTTTCTGCCATGTACCCACTGCCCTCGTTTTGTTTTTCTGGCATGCTGGCACTCCGGCACCTTCCAAGGTAGACATAGTGGGTTTTTTTGGCACTCCAGCCAAAAAATGTTGCCTACCCCTGCTGTAGACGGATCATTTAGATTCTTTGTTTATTTTTCTGCTAACAGAAATAAAACAAATAGTGACAAAGACTATTCCTGTGCAACTCCCTCTAAAGGACAAGAGAAAGAGAGGGTATTGTGAATGCTGTGTGAAGAAATTCGAAGATCTCCAAACTGTAAGTGAAATAGAGAGAGAGAGAATGCTCAGAGCACTCTTCTATGTATGGCATCAGAAACTTTTTTTAATCGGTATTCTTGACATCACTTTTGGTGGAAATATATACATAGACATTTTGTTGAATATGAGTACCTGCAGTATTGGATGCTTCTTCTGACTTTTTTTTAATTTTCAGCACCTGGAAAGTGAACAGCACCAAAACTTTGCACAAAGTACCCAGTATCAAGTTGTGGATGATATCATTTCCAAATTTGTTTATGACTTTGTGGAATATGGAAATGAAACACAGAAAAGTAAAAGGTAATTTACATTTACAAACCTAAAAAAAAACTTTAGCTAACTTCTACATTTGGAGATTTACTGATACAACTCAGAGACTACAAGTCTAGTAAAGGACTACTCACAAATCACTGACATGTATTTGTATTACCTTTTCTTTTAAAATAGTCTGCTGTGTGTAAATCTGGTATATAGCAACAGTTGTTTCTGTTTCACAGGATTTGCCAAATATTAACAAGGTAGAAAGAGAGCTAAGGGGTACCGTTTTAACTGATATAAGCTATTTGAGTATTAACCCTATTTATTTACTTTGCTTTTTAAATTTATAATAAATTTGAACTTTATATTTAAAAATCCACCTATTCTATCATTTTTGATAATTATAGAAAAATAATCTAGTCTGTAACACCTTAACAAAATTCAGTACTCAAAAGAAAATCAATCCCCATCAAGCCGTTCTTCCTCCAAGCTTTGGCGAGAAGATTTGCTGCACGTCTAATCTGTTTCAGCTCAAATTAAAATTCAAGTTCTAAAATGAACAGCCTCCCAGAAAATGTACTCTTGTCAGCACCATATCTCTTCACACAAGGGAACTATATGGCAGTTTTAGATTGCTCTGTGGTGTTTCCAGAGGATTTTAGATGTTGAAATCCTCCTTTTTTTTAAAATGTTTTTTCTAAAAAATGTAACAGGGAACCAAGCTATTCCCAGTGAAGTTGATAAAAAAAATTGTAGTTAATGTAAATAAAACCAGAAATCAGCCACTGGTGTCTGTCAGGACAGATTTGTCTCTATTTGCCCCTCTCCCTGACTGCCACCACCATCCGTGCCTTTTACTTTGCGATTTAAAAATGGTTAGGTTAAGTTAAGGTTGTTTATCAAAAATGCTAAATCTGATTAAACTGAAAGGTTACACTATTTAAGTGCCTTTAAAAATATTGCCATTCTACATAATATTTATTTTAATGGAGTAACTTATATACCTTTTAATGTGATGAATTTAGTTTTTTGTAGAAAGTAGATTTGACTATTTTACTTCTGAGTAGTTTAAAACCATAACAATCTTCAGAAGCCAGCATGAATATGAACCTTCCAGTCCTGTGAAAGGGGGGTAACTATAGCAAATGAATTCTTTTAAGCACCAAACAAAAACTGTTTTGTTATTTTTATTGCTTTCTTAGATATGTTCCTAAAGTAGTCTGCTATATAACCTGTTTCCTTCAGTTTTTAATGTTATAACCTGTTTAATTTTAGGACAAAATGTAGTATGGGATGCTTTTCTCCTATTACCGGAAATGTAACTAATACAGGTGAACTAAAAGATCAGCTGAAAAGGCAGAACATTTCTTTGAAGCATTACTCCTGGAAAGATAAAAAAATACAGGCGCTAAAGCAAGATCATAAACATATATCCTCAAGTTTTGTACAAAAACATCCATGTTCTGAATCAGCGTGTCAGATTCCTGCATGTCATCTGTCTTGTGTTTCAGAAGTAGTAAGTAAATTCAGAAATGATGATGAAAATGGTAAAGTGGAAGATTCCTGTACTACAGCCTCAAAAAAGACTGATTTATCGCCAGATTTTGTGCAGCTATCTCCCCACAGAGACAATGCAACATATGTAGAGAACTTACCTGAAGCTTATGAACATTGTAGTAATAAAGCATTGGAAACTGAAGTAAATTTAGATAGAAAGAATTTACAAAGTGTACAGGCAGATATACCTACATTATGTACTCATGCCCAAGGCACTGATTTTAGTGAAAAAGACAAAAATACATCACAGTCAAAACGCAAATTAAATAACACTGTTATTTTACCAGCAAAATGTTTGAAGAAAACAAGTGCCACTTCATCATTTAACAAAAAATATATTGATTTTGTTGATGATCCCCTGCAGACAGAGCATACTATAGGTCTGAAGACCAAGCTACCACATACTGTTACAGATAAAGAACTTAATGAACTAGCTGTTAATTGTGCACACAGTTCACCTTCTGGAAAGCTACATAGAAAAGTAAAATTTTCCTCAGGAAGACATAAAAGAGGAAATCGGAAACAGAAACTGGAGTTGTGTGTAAAGCAAGCTGAAGAATTGTCTGTTAAAGAAATGAAAGACCACTGTTCGCCTGTGCAGACTCTTTGGGAATTATTTCAGACAAGTGAAGGGAATTCAGATTTTGTAGGTTTTATTAGTTATTCTGAGAACAAAGATTCAACTGACATGAAAGAGATTTGCGAGGGACAAAATACCAATACACTGTGGTCGTTTTTTTCACCTTCCTCTTCATCCTCATCCACATTTATTGGATTTTAATGTTTCTTTATTTAAAACAGCAGCTTCTGAATAAACTCAAACTGATAAGGATTTATTCATGGAGTCTTTAATGTATTTTAAATTATGTACAGATGTTCTTTGTGTTCAGTTTCTGGTATACTGAGTGTGCATGCAAAACCTTATGCCTATAAATGTGAAGAATAAAGGTAATACAGAGATTTTTTTTCTTTAAAAATTACCAGAGGTGGTAAAAAGGGTATGACTTAGAGATACTGTATTTACATTAACTACTAAACACGATCAATAAACTTCATATAGTAACCTTTTTGTTAATTTTGAAACCATTGTTGGATGTGAATAATTATTTCTGTATTATAAATTGTTGAAAGTTGTCCTCTTGTTCCTAGAGTTCTCTTCTCCTTTTTATTAGAAAACTGAAACAATATTATATGCTTTTCTCTTACTTCTGCGGGAATTCTCATAGGGAAGCTGTACAGTCAAAATACAGAAGAAACCACAGGTCTGATAAGTCAATTAATGCTATTCAAGTTTGTAATGGGAGTTTATTTGATTTGGATCTCCAGAGTCATCAGAATTGAAGGCATTGTTAACATTTGATCTTTGAACAGGCCCTCCCATTAAGGTGACAGTAGAACAGAAGATGGTCACAAGAGAATTCTTGAAATTACTGCAAAAGCTGAGATTTATTTTTTTTAGATCAAGTGACGATTATGCAGTGACAGCATTCAGTTTTGATATCTTTACCTGATGAATGTACTATTGCAGTAGCTACTACTTCAGTATTGACTTGGTGCATATGTGCTGACATAAAGTACTAGTTGTATATTTCAGGCAATAAGAAACAAACTTTCTCGTAAATATATTTATTTTATATTATTTTTCATTTTTTTATCAAAGCAGTTGGTTTCTGGTTGACTGTTTGTTTGGGTGGGTTGTTTTTGTTTTTATTTACTGGTTTGACATTAAATGGGTATCCAATATGCTTAAAGTACATAGTTGGGAGGTCTGGATTTGTTTTGGGTTTTTTGCCTTTGGACTTCCTACTGACTTGAACTTGCACAGACTCTCCGCTTCTCCTAAATATGTGATGGACATGATGTAATAATAGCAGTGATGCTCAGTCTATCTGGCCCCATGGGCCTGATCCAGCACAGGGTTACTCTACATGTGCAATCTGCTGCACTGACCTGACCTTGGCTTGATTCTGGGAGCAATTAATGCTGCCACCCTTTTCCTACTGCCAAATTTTTGGGCCCATGTGGGGAGCTCCAGGGGCCATAGGTTTGGCACCTGTGAATAATATAGCCTCAACAGGGATCATTGCAAGGTTTTAGCTTACTATTGTATATAAAGTGCCTTAAGGCCTACAGATAGTGTATGCATTTAAAATTACTATTAATACATTTTGTAAAAAAAAAGTCACTTCAATATTTTATCTAAAACATTTTGTAAAGTCTGTTTAAGATGTGATCTCCTGATTAGTACTTTCAGTATCTGGAAGGTTATTTTTCATCATTAGAGAGGCATTGTTTTATCAGACTTATGGCAGGTTTGGGTTACTTTTAGACTTTTAGGAGGCGTTGCGGTGCAATACGCTTGCTTTCTTCATTTTGCTTTTACCCAAACTAGGTTGAGTTTTCAAAGCTTTATGGCTAAAGTGGCTCCTTGCATAGGAGTAACAATTGCCTTGCCATCATTTTCTGCAGGTTAACTTTGATTCTTCATATTCTGATATCATCTCATTTGAAGAGGTAAAAAAATTGCCATTGTAGCCATCTATTCAGTGTGCAATTCTTGCCAGTTTTATGATGCTTTGGAGAAGAGATTTGTAGCAAGAAAATATTGGAAGGTATAATTAGAGTTTAGATGTGGAACAGAGTAAACAAAACAAACTTTTGGGGTTTGGTATGTGTCTGCGTGCTTTTTTCATGTACATGCCCTACACTATATTTTTGTTAGCTTGCTAATAAAGTCCCATGAATTGAACTATAAAGTAAAACTTATTGGTAAGTAGTTTGTATATGGGCCCACTAATATTCATAAAAACAGACTTGAGCTCCAAGCCACAAGTTTTAAATGTAATTTTTTTTCTAGGTTTAAATGTTTTTTACCCATTTTTCTCTTAGGAATTTTGGCTGTGATTGTTAAGTTCAAGGTCAGTTTGGAAGTATGTACCTCCCTGTTTTAACTTGTGTTTGTAGACAAAAATATAATTAAACTATGAGTCTGCTTGCCTGATGCCTTCTGCTGAAACCTAAATAGAGAATATCTTTGTAGGTTAATGCAAAATGTTAAATTAATGGAGTGCTAAGATGAGAGAGAGCTCTCGTATGAGTGTTGCCATTTTTATATGAAATACAATATGTTCTCCTAGTACATGATTATTTACTATATTTACTCTCATACCCCACACACCCTTTTCCCCCAAATAAGCCCTTCTTAATTGAGGTGCATGTCTTAAGTGGGGAAGCTGACTTTTTTCTTTGGAGTAGAAGCAGGGAGGGATACACTGTGCTGTAATGTGCCAAGATGGCCGCCACTTCTCTCTAACTGCAGCAAGCAGAAGAAGCAGAGTCCTATGTTAACCTCAACTGCAGTAACTTTTGGCTGAGCACTGTAGCCTGTGCCTGAAGTAAATTTGAGCTGGCTCAGGGCAAGTCAGCTGCTGCATGCTGTCTGGAGTATCTTGGTGAGGCTTTTGTGGTATGGAAACACTACAGAAACTCATAGCAGAGTCACTGGTGCGACTGTCTGAGCACTCATGGTGCTCAGGTGAGGTCCCAGAAGACTGGAAAAGGGCCAGTGTGTGGTCCCTATTTTCAAGAAGAGGAGGAAGGAGGATCCAGGTAACTACAGAGCAGTTAGTCTCACCTCTATCCTTGGGAAAACCCTTGAAAAAATTATCAAGGATCACATTTGTAAGAGTCCAACGGGTAATATAATGCTGAAGGGCAACCAGCATAGGTTCATAGCAGGTAGATCCTGCCTGACTAACCTTATTTCTTTCTATGACTAGGTCACTAAATGCTTAGATGTAGGAGTTGAGGTAGATGTCATCTTGGACTTTAAGAAGGCCTTCAACATGGTATCCCATCCTGTTCTCATAAATTAAACAATGGTTGTGCCATAGACGATTACACAGGCATGTGGGTGGCAAATTGGTTTGGGGGTTGTACCCAGAGAGTGGTGGTGGATGGATTGGTATTGACCTCTAAAGTTGTGGGCAGTGGGGTCCCCCAAGGCTCAATCCTTGGAGTGGTACTGTTCAATATCTTCAGCAGCATCCTGGATGAGGGCATGGAAAGCACTCTTCAAATTCGCAGGTGACACCAAACTGTGGAGTGAAGCAAACACTGACAGGAAAAAACCAAATCCAGGCTGACCTGGACAAGTTAGAGAAGTGAGCAGAGAACAATAGGATGTAGTTCAACAGGGACAAGTGCAAAGTGCTGCACCTAGGGAGAGGGAATCACGAGCACCCCTATAGGGCGGGGGATGACCTCAGCAGCACAGCAGCAGAAAGAGATCTCGGAGTTCTTGTCAACTCCAAGATGAATATGAGTCAATGTGATGAAGTAATTAGCAGAGCTAACTGCATTTTGTCATGCATTAGTAGGTGTATCACAGACAGGTCCAGGGAGGTGATGCTCCCCCTCTGCGGCACTGGTCAGGCTGCAGCTAGAGTACTGGGTCCAATTCTGGGTGCTGCAATTCAAGAAGGATGTGGACAAGCTTGAGGGTCCAGAGGAGGGCCACTCATAGAGTTAGAGGCCTGCAGGGAAGGCCTTGCAAGGAAAGGCTGAGGGACCTGGACCTTGTCAGCCTCCGCAAGAGAAAGCTAAGGGGGGATCTTGTGGCAGTATACAAATTAATTGGGGGTGGGTGGGGGGCAGCAGGGAATAGGTGATGCTCTGTTTACCAGAGCACCCCTTGGAACAACCAGAAGCAACAGCCATGAGCTGATAGAGAGTAGACATCAGAAAGAACTTCATGGTTAGGGCAGTCAGAATCTTGAACGGGCTACCAAGGGAGGTGGTGCTGTCTCATACCTTGGGGGTCTTCAAGAGGAGACTAGACAAGCACCTGGCTGGGGTCACATGACACCAGCACTTTTTCCACTGGGGCCACTAGGAGGGGGTTGGACTCAATGATCCATTGAGGTCCCTTCTGACCCTAGCATCTGTGTGTGTGTGTGTGTGTGTGTGTATATATATAAAACCTATACTAAAAAAATAACAGTCTTTCTACTGCTCTTACAAAGGTCTAGGGCCTCCCCTTGTTGCTGTTCTGCCACACCAGGAAATTCCTAGTGCCTCACCCAGACAGTCTCCTAGTGTCCAGGAAGTCTGGCATCCTGTTTCCAAAAGGACTTATTTTGTGACTGTTGGCAGACTATAATTTACTTGTCCAATTAGGATCAGACAAATTTTATGATGGATTCCAAAAGTTGCATGTCCTGCCACACTACACATGCATGGTAGGATACACAGTTTTTAGCATCTAGCATAAAAATAATTGGATCCCAATCATGCAACAGCTTTTGAGATATTTAAAGTCCCTGGGTGTCAGGACCTAAAAATGAGGAGGAGACCCAGGGCTGCCCTGTGCTGGACAGCCATGCTGTAGGTGTGCTCTTTAAGGCTGCCTATACATGAGCATGGCAGGGGGCACTTCAATTAGAGAAGTTCCTGAACAGCCACTCTAACTTAAACAGCTCACCACCATATGTATTGAACCCCAACATGTTTTAAAAAGGCCATGGGATACTTTATCTAAAGCTCATTTAATGAGGTTTAGATAAAGCACCCCATGGCCATTTTAAGACATGCAGGGGCTTAATACACATGATGGTGAGGCAATGCTGAAGTGTTTTAATTAGAATGTGAATAAGCACATCTATAGGCAGCCTAAAAGTCCTCATGAGCCAGGAACTAGAGACCAGGGAGCTTCTCCCAAGTGTCTGGGTCAGGGTATCCAAGGAGAATTCAAAAGTAGGCATGCTTTTTAAAAATCCCTGCATGCTGGACCTCCCCAGCTGCCACTTCCACAGGTGCTAGGGAATGTAAACAAGCAGGCATGTAGCTGTTGCTCCTAGCTGCAAGTCTGCTTTTCAAAGATGCAGAGCACTTTGAGCCTGACATCAGAGAGAGAGTTCTTGGTGTCAGGCTCATGGAACCTCCCCCACACCCATCTGTCTCCAAGGATTGAGCCAGGGTGACTGTGTTAGGACTGTCTGGCTGCCCCATGCTGGATCCCTATGCTCAGCTGAGCATTGGGATCCAACACGGGGAAGATGGCACACAGTCAATTTAAATTGTGAGACAAACATGTTATATGGGGAACATCTTTGTAGCTTGTTTGGTATAGTGCCACAAATTGCCTTTTTACTGTGTAAAACCCAAAAGCTTGCTTACAATTTTTTCCCCCAACTATTTAAGTTGGTCTAATAAAAGATATCAGATTCACTCAAAGAACCTTGTCTATTTACTGTGTGGCACTTGTTATTTATGGTGTGATTTACATGATAATCATGCCATAAATGCAACCTCTGTCAGGGCCATGTCACATCATCTGCTGTATCTCTGGAAAAATCTCCACATTCTACCTTCCACAGACAAAGCGTGTGTCTTATTTGGGGGCATGTCGCATGTGAGCAAGTACCATAATGTGTAACAATAAGGAAGTTTATATGTAAGATGTAGCCTATACGTAAAGTGGAAGCACAGTTTGGAATCTTCAGAAAGTTTCTGGAGCCTCCTTAGCAAACATTTTAAGCATACATGCAGTTATGCAAAATGCTATATGTTGTGTATATATTTTGGCAGTTTTCAGAACATACCTTTAAAGTTACAAAATTATAAAGGCCCTTATTACAAAATCAGTCTCAAATGTGATTTAGAATGGCTGTAATTTTTTTGGTATATGAAACTTTAATATTGCTAACTCTAAGAAAAATGATAAAGCTGACGCACAGAAAAAAGATAAACCTGATGAACAATATAATGTTTAACTTAATTTCAATCCCAAATTTATTCAGATAAACTAATGCACATATAGTTTTTAAAGGACTTCTTTAAGAATATAAGAAGTGCTGCACTGGGTCTGACTAGTGACCCATTGACCCTCATATCCTGTCTCTGACAGTAGCAAGTGGTAGATGCTTTAGAGAGGAGAGTACATATAGAGCATGTTTAGTGTAATTCCTCCACTGCCATGCCTTCCTTGGCATCATTGGTTTTGGAAAACTATCTATAACTAAGTCTCTTTCTAATTGTGACTGCTAATTTGAAGCATTGTGTATGATAGTTAAAGTGTTCTGCTCCCCCTCCGGACATTACTTTGTACTTGTTAACTTTTGAAGTTCATCTGCCACATTTTTGCCTACTTGCTTAATTTTAAGACCTTTTCCTGTAGCTTTTCAACAACACTTTCCAGTTTTACTGTCTGGAATAATCTAATCTGAAAAATTTCAGATTGCACTGTGCATTCCCCTTTATGAGAGCATTGAATAGAAATGGCCCAGGACTGTGGGGGACCCCACTATTGGAGTTCCAAGTGTCAAGATGTGAAATCAGCTGTTTTCAAGGAAGCTAAAATGAAAGTATTGAGTTCTTCAAGAGATAATTTTGGAAAAAGGGAGAGGAAGGGCAAATCTTAATATTTTCACCTTCTCATTTTCTCTCTCCAACATACAAATAAGCTGACGGTTGCATGCTTACAATCTATACTCCCTAACAAAGCCTTAAGTTTATGTTGAAAGTTTGTTAAGGGACACTTCAACCTGACTGAGAATAGGAGTTTAATATAGGAGTGTCCTCTTGTGTATAGCTATGCCATCATGTCATTTATACATAAAAGTCTGAACACACTCTTCATTAGAGACAGAAATTCTGTAGCTGTGTAAATCTATTTCAGTCTTGGATCTTCAGCCACTTTTAAAAAGACTTGATGCTGGCCCTAGACACAACAGCAGGAAAATTTTCCCTTGTATTCTAAGGGTAGACAGTTTGTCTCTAGTTTTCATGTTTATTGTGCCATTAAATGGTGCATCTCTCTCAGGCAGTGGATAGACATTCATTTGTAGTGTTACAAGTGCCTCAGCACTTACAGCACAGCAAATACTGAGGTTTCTAAGGGATGCACATCTATTTTCAATCATCTTGTTGGAGTGCTGCAAAGTCACCATAAAGCTATGCTCTCTGGCGGGAGTAATAGAGGGTTGCTCCTTTGCTTCCACCTCTGTTTCCCTGTCCTTCCACCTGTGAACCTTAGCAATGGGTGTTATCATTGACAACCTCCCCTCCCCTCCACTAGGGGA